ACAGGTTTGAATCAGCTTTCTACATACAGGTTTCAACTGCTAAATTGAATTATTACAACACTTAGGTCTCCTGAATAGGGTCAACAGTATCACAACCTTTGCTATTACATAATGTTAAGACATTAGGTCACCTTGATTCCTGTGATAATGGTCTACTCACCAATTAAATATACGCTATATTTGCACAAACCAAAGATTTTCCAATTATATTGAAAAAAATGTGCAGGGTATCTTAGGACTTTATATTTCAATGTTTTAACCTAACCCTTGATTGGGCAATTATACACTGAACAAAAATATAAACGCAACATGTAAAGTGTTGGTCCCATGTTCCATGAGCTGAAATAAAAGATCCCAGAAATTGTAGCACAAAAAGCTTATTTCTCTAAAAGTTTGTGCACAAATTTGTTTACATCCCTGTTAGTGAGCATTTCTCCTTTGCCAAGATAATCTATCCACCTGACAGGTGTTCCATATAATAATATAATAATATGCCATTTAGCAGACGCTTTTTTCCAAAGCGACTTACAGTCATGCGTGCATACATTTTTATTTTTTATTTTTGTATGGGTGGTCCCGGGGATCCAACCCACTACCTTGGCATTACAAGCGCCGTGCTCTACCAGCTGAGCTACAGAGGACCACAAGAATCGGATTAAACTGCATGATCATTACACAGGTGCACCTTGTGCTGGGGACACTAAAAGGCCACTCTAAAATGTGCATTTCTGTCACACAACACAATGCCACAGATTTCTCAAGTTGAGGGTGCGTGCAATTGGCATGCTGACTGCAGGAATGTCCACCAGAGCTGTTGCCAGAGAGTTGAATGTTCATTTCTCTACCATAAGCCGCTTCCAACGTCGTTTTAGAGAATTTGACACTACGTCCAACTGGCCTCACAACCACAGACCATGTGTATGGCGTCGTGTGGGCGAGCGGTTTGCTGATTAATCATATTTAATCATGTTTCACTACCTCAAAGTTATTAAAGAATATAACTATCATAATTTCTTCATATATATATATATTTTTTAAGATCAACTATATTATTATTAGAAGCTATCATATCTTTGGAATGAACACCAACGCCAATGAATAAACTTCAACTAGAGGTCAAAGTTCATGAGTTGAAACAAATTATGTATATAAACCCTGGATTGCTTATATGTATTGGCCAATGAGAGGCTTTGAAGCCACCGGTCGGCCATATTGGTACCCCCCAGTAGGAGCAGGGTTCCATAGGAATGAATGGAATTCTACAGTATTGCAATTAAATGTTTCAATGACAAAATTACATGTATTTAAGTATTTTTGTAGAACGTTGTGAACAGAGTGCCCCATGGTGGAGGTGGGGTTATGGTATGGGCAGGCATAAGCTACGGAAAATGAAAACACAATTGCATTTCATCGATGGCAATTTTAATGCACAGAGACACCGTGACGAGATCTTGAGGCCCATTGTCGTGCCATTCATCTGCCGCCATCACCTCATGTTTCAGCATGATACGGCCCCATGTCGAAAGGATCTGTTCACAATTCCTGGAAGCTGAAAATGTCCAAGTTCTTCCATGGCCTGCATACTCACTAGACATAATAATAATAATATGCCATTTAGCAGACGCTTTTATCCAAAGCGACTTACAGTCATGCGTGCATACATTTTTGTGTATGGGTGGTCCCGGGGATCGAACCCACTACCTTGGCGTTACAAGCGCCGTGCTCTACCAGCTGAGCTACAGAGGACCACACATGTCACCCATTGAGCATGTTTGGGATGCTCTGGATCGACGTGTACAACAGCGTGTCCCAGTTCCCGCCGATACCCAGCAACTTCGCATCCACCATTGAAGAGGAGTGGGACAACATTCCACAGGCCACAATCAACAGCCTCATCAACTCTATGTGAAGGAGATGTGTCGCACTGCATGAGGCAAATGGTAGTCACACCAGATACTGACTGGTTTTCCGATCCACCCCCCTACCTTTTTTTAAAGGTATCTGTGACTAACAAATGCATATCTGTATTCCCAGTCATTAAATCCGTAGAGTAGGGCCTAATGAATTTATTTAATTTATTTATCAATTGACTGATTTCCTTATATGAACTGTAAGTCAGTAAAATCTTTGAAATTGTTGCATGTTGCGTTTATATTTTTGGTCAGTATATATTTCAGTTGACTACCATATAACATCTTTGAAAGCAGGTTGTGTGAACCGTAGCTCCACCATGTGGTTGGCAGTGGTACAGCAGGGAAATAGTTTAACCTAGTTTCAACAAATGATTTACATATACACTAGATGACTTAAAAAGGGGGCGCTGTTTTGAAGCCACGGCACCTCCATCTTTGCACTCCCCTACTAGTGTAAAAACATATTTTGGAAGCTATAGAAATGCATTTATAAATGTTAAATAAATTTTTTTTTAAACGTTATTCTATTACAGACACCTTAATGCATACTTTTAAATTATATTATGTGAGCTAAACATAAAATATATATATATAAAAACATTTTCCATGAAGTCGCAGTTGTAAATGAGAACATGTTCTCAACTGGCTTACCTGGTTAAATAAGAAATAAAAAAAGTATCATTTTTAGAAAGTTCTAATGTTACGGTCCCCACTACAACAACAAAAATACTTAAATACATGTAATTTTGTCATTGAAACATTTAATTGCAATACTGTAGAATTCCATTCATTCCTATGGAACCCTGCTCCTACTGGGGAGTTCCAATATGGCCGACCGGTGGCTTCAAAGCCTCTCATTGGCCAGGCCAATACATATACGCAATCCAGGGTTTATATACATAATTTGTTTCAACTCATGAACTTTGACCTCTAGTTGAAGTTTATTCATTGGCGTTGGTGTTCATTCCAAAGATATGATAGCTTCTAATAATAATATAGTTGATCTTAAAAAATATATATATATGAAGAAATTATGATAGTTATATTCTTTAATAACTTTGAGGTAGTGAAATATGATTAAATATGATTAATTGATATGAATATTTACATAATGAATACAAATTCGATTTAACATTTTGGTAATTTAGCAGACCGTCATATCCATCTTATACAGTTAGTGCATTCAACTAAGGTAGGCAACGCAACCACACATCACAGTCAAACATTATAGGACTTCACTACATCAGCGTATTTCTACAAAATACCATATATAATACCATCTCAGTTCAATAAAACTGGACACATTTCTTTCCGTGTAAATGATGTTTAATGGCAACAAGCATAACGAGCATGTTAAAAGGAAAAAACAGAGCTCTGAACACAACATTTCCTTATCCATAATGTCACATTATACATTTTTTTACATTTATATTTTTAGTCATTTAGCAGACGCTCTTATCCTCCTGGACATGTTCAAAGGAGTCAAAATACATAGTGTCTCAGTCCCAAACACCACCCTGTTCTCCTTTACAGTGCACTACTTTAGACCAGGGCACTAGAAAGAAAATATGGTGCTATTTGGAAGACAGACAGTGGCAAACACTAACACCAACCACTCCACTTGGGACGTTGACTAAAAGTAGGCCTCAACGCCATATTCTCCAACAAAGAAGATGACACTAATATTAATAAAACTAATATGTCATCCGAATAACCTCTATGATCATCATCAGTTATATTAAAACTACAGCTTTTGGCTTTGCAGGGTCTCGAATGAAGGCAGCCAATCGCCTATGGCAACCATTTTTTCACTAGAGGGTGCATTCCAAAATGGCACCCTATACGCAATGTAGTGCGTTACCTTTGACCTGATTCCATAGTGGCTCTGTGCACTATATAGGGAATAGGGTGCCATTCGGGATGCAGCCCAATAATTATTTTCTCCCTTCATAGTGACCACTGATCCTGCCAATTGACTGGGTTTGGGCTAAAACAGCCCTATCCAACCACGTTAGATCAGTGATTACTTCAGCAAAAGGAAAGGCCACAGGATGCATTAACTCAAAACAGGGCCCGGGCCTTTTTCACAGCACCAAAGCAAAAGGCTTGAAAAGCAACAACAAAAAGTCTAAATACTCTAGAATGGCTTCCTATTTTCGTTCCCTGCCCTGCATTCTCACTGCCAGTGTCCTGAGAGAATGTCTGCGACTCAAATGGGACCCTATTCCCTATGTAGTGCACTACTTTTGCCCAGGGCCCATACAGCTCTGGTAAAAAAGTGGACCACTATAATAGGGAATAAGGTGAGATTTGGGAAGCACACAAACGGGTTGGTTAAAGCCATACAGTGGAACCAATTAAACCTGTCCATTCCAGAAACCTGTCTGTGTTGATGAAAGAATGAAAAGGAGGAAGTCGGGTCATTTCAAGGTAAGCACGCGCACGGGGTTTCTCTTTTACTGACTCCAAACTAATGCGAAGGAAATTAAAGAAGCCCTTTTTGTTAAAGAAACAGAAAATGTCACACAGTCTGATAAAGAACATCTTTTGACTTTGGGAAAAAAAAAAAAAAAAACGGATTACTGAAACACTGAGTTTTTATAATTCCTGACATTTTCAAGCTGCACATTTTGTATCAATAGGCACTTTTAAATAAGTTCTTGTTTGTTCAAACTTTTTTTATTTAATTTTTTTATGGGTTTTCTTTTTCTGTAATAATGGCACATCAGTGTCACAATGATTGTGGGAATGGTCAGCACTAGAGATTGGCAACAAGCAGAAATAAAACCAAGATGCATTGTGGATCTTGTAGTCCTGCTGGAAGGAGTCATCATCCTTTAGTAGCTGTGGTAGATTAACAATCCCAAATTAACCCCTAGACCCTACACCCTATGTACTTTGAGGGGGATCTGAGATTATATGACAGGTGTAATCAATATGTTCATAGCTCCAACTGGCTCTCTGATAGGCTAGGGGGAAGTGACACCATACCTCCAACTGGCCCTCTGATTGGCTAGGGGGAAGTGTCACCATACTCCTTGAATCAATCAAATCCTCATAGATCTCCACAAGTGCGTAGGGCCTAGGGTCGATTTGGGATTGGGCCGTAGACAGCAGATGGAATGAGAAGGCTGGATGCAGCCTGAGGGGGACAGGAGAAAAGGGTGTATTTTTGAGGTGAAAGGGGTGTAGGTGGGAGGAACTGGGGGGGGGAGTTAAGAAGACTTCTCTTTCTTTGCTCTCGGCGAATCGGCTCCGTTGGAACTCACTCCGTTCACTCCATTGGCTGCCAATGACAGAGAATGAAGTCAATGTTCTTGGAGCAAATAACAGGTGAAGGAAATGAAACATACAAAATGACTAGAAACAAAACCAATTTCCTCCGCTCTAATCAGTTTGAACCCTAACTAACGTATCAAGATGGATCTGATCAAAACCAAAAGGTGTGTTGATTTAGACAACGTCCTCTGGTCGCAGCGTGACTCACCTTTGTCCTTCTTGGATTTGCTCTTGGGAGCTTGGGGCTTCTTGGGTTTCAGGGGCTGGGCCTGGGGATGGGCCTGCTCTCTCCACCTCCTCAGCTGGAAGTTGATGAATTTCCACATCATGAAGGCTTGAGTCACACAGATGGTCGCCAGCACAGTGATCCTGTGGACAGAAGATGGTAGTTAGACAGTGATCCTGTGGACAGAAGACTGCAGTTAGACACCGTGATCCTGTGGATAGAAGATGGTAGTTAGACAGTGATCCTGTGGACAGAAGATGGTAGTTAGACACAGTGATCATGTGGACAGAAGACTGCAGTTAGACACCGTGATCCTGTGGATAGAAGATGGTAGTTAGACAGTGATCCTGTGGACAGAAGATGGTAGTTAGACACAGTGATCCTGTGGACAGAAGACTGCAGTTAGACAGTGATCCTGTGGACAGAAGACTGCAGTTAGACACAGTGATCCTGTGGACAGAATATGGTAGTTAGACACAGTGATCCTGTGGACAGAAGACTGCAGTTAGACACTGTGATCCTGTGGACAGAAGATGGTAGTTAGACACAGTGATCCTGTGGACAGAAGACTGCAGTTAGACACAGTGATCCTGTGGACAGAAGACTGCAGTTAGACACAGTGATCCTGTGGACAGAAGACTGCAGTTAGACACCGTGATCCTGTGGATAGAAGATGGTAGTTAGACAGTGATCCTGTGGACAGAAGATGGTAGTTAGACACAGTGATCATGTGGACAGAAGACTGCAGTTAGACACCGTGATCCTGTGGATAGAAGATGGTAGTTAGACAGTGATCCTGTGGACAGAAGATGGTAGTTAGACACAGTGATCCTGTGGACAGAAGACTGCAGTTAGACACAGTGATCCTGTGGACAGAAGACTGCAGTTAGACACAGTGATCCTGTGGACAGAAGACTGCAGTTAGACACAGTGATCCTGTGGACAGAAGACTGCAGTTAGACACAGTGATCCTGTGGACAGAAGACTGCAGTTAGACACAGTGATCCTGTGGACAGAAGACTGCAGTTAGACACAGTGATCCTGTGGACAGAAGATGGTAGTTAGACACAGTGATCCTGTGGACAGAAGACTGCAGTTAGACACAGTGATCCTGTGGACAGAAGACTGCAGTTAGACACAGTGATCCAGTGGACAGAAGACTGCAGTTAGACACAGTGATCCTGTGGACAGAAGACTGCAGTTAGACACAGTGATCCTGTGGACAGAAGACTGCAGTTAGACACAGTGATCCTGTGGACAGAAGACTGCAGTTAGACACAGTGATCCTGTGGACAGAAGACTGCAGTTAGACACCGTGATCCTGTGGATAGAAGATGGTAGTTAGACAGTGATCCTGTGGACAGAAGACTGCAGTTAGACACCGTGATCCTGTGGACAGAAGACTGCAGTTAGACACACCAAATATCACATGAGTAAATATTCAAAATGGTGGAGTACTGTTACGTCTCTTTCCTCATCCCCTTGTCATTGTCATTTGGAATAGAACTAGACCAGTACTACCATTTCCCCCTACTACAACTACTTTATTTTCTTTAGTTAACTTTGTTTCAATCCAGCCAAGCCACCCCATTACACACACTATCTCACCGAACTATGAGCACGTTGAAGTTTCCGCTGGCCAGGTCCAGTCCCTGTTGATCAGCGTTGGCAAGGCCGAAACCCACAGTCAGGACAGACAGGGACAGGGTGAGCAGCCGTCCAAGGACAAACAGCACCGCCCAGATGGTGAACCTAGTAGAGACACACACACACACAGAGGCACACACACACATTAGATGACCATGACATCCAGTGCTTCCCTTTCTTTCCTGCCTTCTTTGTCCAATAGATATCAACACTATCATAACTCAATACCTTGAGAGAGTAACAAGCTAGTAGATTAACTCCCAACGTCCTTGTCCAAAATGCCAAGTTGGTTTATAGGGACATCTTGTTGTTTTAGGGCTTTGAAGTGTGCTGTGTGACCTCAACTCACCCAGTCGGTCTCTCTCTGTGTGTGTGTGTGTGTGTGTGTGTGTGTGCTCACCCAGTCTGTATCTGTGTGTGTGTGTGTGTGTGTGTGCTCACCCACTCTGTATCTCTGTGTGTGTGTGTGTGTGTGTGTGTGTGTGTGTGTGTGTGCTCACCCACTCTGTATCTCTGTGTGTGTGTGTGTGTGTGTGTGTGTGTGTGTGTTCACCCAGCCTGTATCTGTGTGTGTGTGTGTGTGTGTGTGTGTGTGTGTGTGTGTATCTCTGTGTGTGTGTGTGTGCTCACCCAGTCTGTATCTCTGTGTGTGTGTGTGTGTTCACCCAGCCTGTATCTGTGTGTGTGTGTGTGTGTGTGTGTGTGTGTGTGTATCTCTCTGTATGTGTGTGTGTGCTCACCCAGTCTGTATCTCTGTGTGTGTGTGTGTGTGCTCACCCAGTCGCTCTCTCTGTGTGTGTGTGTGTGTGTGTGTGTGTGTGTGTGTGTGTGTGTGTGTGTGTGCTCACCCTGTCAGTCTCTTCTCGTTGCTGAAGTAGAGCAGGCGGGACACGTGGAAGAGAAGCTCTACAAAGTAGTGGAACACCAGCAGGACCAGAGCCAGACGATTCAGACTGGAAGACACAAAATGGACGTCGTTAGATCCCTCTGCTACCACAGTAATGATTACTAACTAGACGGTCATGCTTCATAGAGGTTGGAAATACTTTGTTTTCTAGCCAAAAAAGGCTATTTTAACCACTAACCCTAGCCTTGCTATGTTGTGTCAATTTCCAACCACCTAATTGTCATATCAGTTGTAGCAAAAAAGAGCTGTTGACAGAGTAGAACTGCAGTCAGCCCTCTGTTCCAACCTCCCAACCGCAGTCAGCCCTCTGTTCCAACCTCCCAACCTCAGTCAGCCCTCTGTTCCAACCTCCCAACCGTAGTCAGCCCTCTGTTCCAACCTCCCAACCTCAGTCAGCCCTCTGTTCCAACCTCCCAACCGTAGTCAGCCCTCTGTTCCAACCTCCCAACCGTAGTCAGCCCTCTGTTCCAACCTCCCAACCTCAGTCAGCCCTCTGTTCCAACCTCCCAACCGTAGTCAGCCCTCTGTTCCAACCTCCCAACCGTAGTCAGCCCTCTGTTCCAACCTCCCAACCGTAGTCAGCCCTCTGTTCCAACCTCCCAACCGTAGTCAGCCCTCTGTTCCAACCTCCCAACCGCAGTCAGCCCTCTGTTCCAACCTCCCAACCGTAGTCAGCCCTCTGTTCCAACCTCCCAACCGTAGTCAGCCCTCTGTTCCAACCTCCCAACCTCAGTCAGCCCTCTGTTCCAACCTCCCAACCTCAGTCAGCCCTCTGTTCCAACCTCCCAACCTCAGTCAGCCCTCTGTTTCCAACCTCCCAACCTCAGTCAGCCCTCTGTTTCCAACCTCCCAACCGTAGTCAGCCCTCTGTTCCAACCTCCCAACCGTAGTCAGCCCTCTGTTCCAACCTCCCAACCGCAGTCAGCCCTCTGTTCCAACCTCCCAAACGCAGTCAGCCCTCTGTTCCAACCTCCCAACTGCAGTCAGCCCTCTGTTCCAACCTCCCAACTGCAGTCAGCCCTCTGTTCCAACCTCCCAACGTGTCAGCCCTCTGTTCCAACCAACTCCCACTGCAGTCAGGCCCTCTGTTTCCAAGCCTCCCCAACTGTAGTCAGCCCTCTGTTTCCAAACCTCCCAACTGTAGTCAGACCCCTCGGTTCCAACCTCCCAACCGTAAGTCAGCCCTCTGTTTCCAACCTCCCAACCAGTAGTCAGCCCCTCGGTTCCAACCTCCCAACTGCAGTCAGCCCTCTGTTCCAACCTCCCAACTGTAGTCAGCCCTCTGTTCCAACCTCCCAACTGTAGTCAGCACTCTGTTCCAACCTCCCAACTGTAGTCAGCACTCTGTTCCAACCTCCCAACCCTCTGTGTGTATGAGTCTTTCGGAGGGGTAGAGATAAAGCGGAAGTCAATTTTCCGCTAGACTTTTGTGTACAATTGGACAAAACAATAATCTTCTAGAGTTGTTGATGTGAACCAGGTCTTACTTGAGGATGTACGCTCCTGCGATGTTGACCAAGTACAGAGCGGTATACATCAACTGCCGGGGAATATCCTCCTACAAACAAACAGCAAACAGACGGGGTTTCAGGAAAAACATGGTCAGGACACTGCTGACATTTACTCTGTAATGATGGCAAGCAAAATGGTAGTCAAATGTTTGAATTGAACTTCTTTAAAACAAAATATTACATAAGCAAGGAACTGGAAATAGCATGCGTACACAAACAAACTTTGCATAAGTACTCACTTTCTTGGTCTTTTGGAAGTAGAGCTCGGGGAGGGTGTGAAGCCAGTAGCCCAACTGACCGATGAAATAGAACTTCATCTGGAACCTAGGAGAAATAAACACCGAGTCTGTCAAGTCTAACATCATTACCTTACGTTTTGGTCATTTAGCAGACACTCTTCTCGAGAGAGCGACTTTAAAAAATAAAAAAAATAAAAAATCAGTGAATTCAACTAAGTTAGGTAAGACAACCACATCAGTCATAGTAAGTAACATTTTGCACCAAAAAAAAGCTGCTATAAATCTGCTATCAAATATCTAATGATAGAATAATGAACTACTAGATTGATTACACAGAGGTACTTAGGAGAAGTCATGCCGAGTGATATGACACACTAATTACATTTAGGAGTGTTTGAAGAGAACTCAAGCAACTCCTTCTATTAAAAACAGTAAGTCGTCCCCCCCCCCCCCTATTTAGGGGATTTTGAGCGGTTCTGGATCGGTTCCGTCTGAAATGTTTGTGTACAGAGCGCTCTGTGAACGGTGCAACGTCAATCGCTGTACACACTCCGTTCTGGTTGTTCCTCATCACATGCAGCTCTCCGCTCTCATCTGAGATGCAGTATGTGAAATCTGACAGCTCATTTGCATAGGGAGCGACACGTCCAGACAAAGGATACATTTCCTCTGACTGTGAACCTCTCCACTCCGCTTACAGAGAGAGCCTAGCGATCGCAGCGAAAGCGGTTTCATCTCGCTGTGATGTTCTCAGATGGGCTTAGAGCTCTCAACATAAAATAATTGAACCAAGACCCACTTTCTCTAGGTCACAGAGGGACAAAAAAAATCACTGTGTTTAAAAACTGAAGTTGTAACGCGTTAGCATGCATTTGAATGGCCATCTCTGCATTACTCAGAGGACGCTGGGACGAAAATTGTCTTTCAGTTATATGAAATGGTCCCAATGTTGTACCGTCATTAAGTCATACGTTTACTCCTGAGTGGCGCAGTGGTCTAAGGCACTGCATCGCAGTGCTAACTGTGCCACTAGAGATCCTGGTTCGAATCCAGGCTCTGTCGCAGCCGGCCGCGACCGGGAGACTCATGGGCGGCGCACAATTGGCCCAGCGTCGTCCAGGGTAGGGGAGGGAATGGCCGGCAGGGATGTAGCTCAGTTGATAGAGCATGGCGTTTGCAACGCCAGGGTTGTGGGTTCGATTCCCACGGGGGGCCAGTATAAAAAAAAATGTATTCACTAACTGTAAGTCGCTCTGGATAAGAGCGTCTGCTAAATGACTAAAATGTAAATGTAATACGTATTTACAGTTATAAGAAAGGTGACATATCATAGTATGTAGTTTATCATTTCTTTGTAACTAAATTCCCCCCCCGTCTGGTTTTTCATATTTTCATCATATTTGTACTGTGTACTTGAGTTTGTGTCCTCAAAAGTGACTACACCTCAGCAATGTATAACTAATTTGACCGGAAAGGTGAGATTGTCATCTTTCTGTCAGTATAAGCATTACTAGTTATTGTTTATGGCCCTCATGATAAATAATTACTTTTGGGTATGTCTATTTAGGAGGAAATCTACATTTTGACATTACATAATAACTATGCAAATCCTGTGACTAACACAAGAAAAATAATTGAAGCTAGTATAAGCAGATGTGTTTCCACAGAGATACTTAAGAGAACTAATGCTCTCTAAGTAGAAACACTCCACACCTGTGTTTAAACAAACCCACCCACTTCTATGCAAAATCCCACCAGTTGACATTAGTTTACATGGGGAACTGAGGAGGACTGAGAATGATGAGTGTTGGTCATTACAAGGAAACAAGACGATATGTAACAGTCAGAAAGGTTTACTTGTGTTTAGTTGTACACGTTTACCTACAACAGCGCAAATAAATGCTTCACTGAGTTCAAGTCACAGACACATCAACTGTTCAGTGGGGACTGTGTGAATCAGGCCTTCATGGTCGAATTGCTGCAAAGAAACCACTACTAAAGGACACCAATAATAAGAAGAGACCTGCTTGGGCCAAGAAACAAGAGCAATGGACATTAGACCGGTGGAAATGTGTCCTTTGGTCTGGTGTCCAAATTGGAGCTTTTTGGTTCCAACTGCCGTGTCTTTGTGAGACGCAGAGTAGGCGAACGGATGATCTCTGCATGTGTAGTTCCCACCGTAAAGCATGGAGGAGGTGGTGTTATGGTGTGGGGGTGCTTTGCTGGTGACACTGTCTGTGATTTATTGAGAATTCAAGGCACACTTAACCAGCATGGCTACCACAGCATTCTGCAGCGATACGCCATCCCATCTGGTTTGGGCTTAGTGGGACTATCATTTGTTTTTCAACAGGACAATGACCCAACACACCTCCAGGCTGTGTAAGAGCTATTTGACCAAGAAGGAGAGTGATGGAGTGCTGCATCAGATGACCTGGCCTCCACAATCCCCCGGCCTCAACCCAATTGAGTTGGTTTGGGATGAGTCGGACGGCAGAGTGAAGGAAAAGCAGCCAACAAGTGCTCAGCATATGTGGGAACTCCTTCAAGACTGTTGGAAAAGCATTCCAGGTGAAGCTGGTTGAGAGAATGCCAAGGGTGCCTATTTGAAGAATCTCAAATATAAAATATATTTTGATTTGTTTAACACTTTTTGGGGGTTACTACATGATTCCATATGTGTTATTTCATAGTTTTGATGTCTTCACTATTATTCTACAATGTAGAAAATAGTACAAATAAAGAAAACCCTGGAATGAGTAGGCGTTTCCAAACATTTGACTGGTAGTGTCGCTCTTAAAGCGACAGTACCCACTCTGATGAGCCTTTTGTACAATGTATCAGTTTGCATAGGAATGGTTCAGTACTTACGGCATCAGGGTATGAGGGTATCCATCCCACAGACTCACTGGGTTGGACAGGAAGTTCTCCTGGAAGAGAAACAAAATCCCATAAACCAATCAGATGGTCTTAAACAAACAAACAGGAACACCCACTAGTCCAGTAAACAAACAGCCCAGCATTTATTCCATTTAAAACCACCTACACCTCACACACACAAAGTTACAGACACACCTGATAATCCAGTCAACAGATAGTTTAAAAGCACGTACAGACATGAGGATGCTGGTTCCCCATCCGAAGGAGAACAGGTAGAAGGCAGAGAGCTGGCCTGACTCGTTGAACTTGCTGTGCTTGGTCTTAGAGAAGTGCATCTTCCGGTTGATCTTCTGCATAACAAATAGATAAAACAGAGAGTTAGAGGTAATCAGTTATAGATAAAACAGAGAGGTTAGAGGTAATCAGTTATAGATAAAACAGAGAGGTTAGAGGTAATCAGTTATAGATAAAACAGAGAGGTTAGAGGTAATCAGTTATAGATAAAACAGAGAGGTTAGAGGTAATCAGTTATTATCATCCAGTTGTCAGAAGAACAATAACAATGCCAGTACGTCAAACTGTCAAGTGGCTGACGTTTGTCTGTAAAAGAGCTGATTACTGATCTGACTATTACATACACATTTGAGAAAACAAGCATACAAATTGTGTGTGTGTCTGAGTGTGTGTGTGTCTGAGTGTGTGTGTGTGTCTGAGTGTGTGTGTGTGTGTGTGTCTGAGTGTGTGTGTGTGTGTGTGTGTCTGAGTGTGTGTGTGTGTCTGAGTGTGTGTGTGTCTGAGTGTGTGTGTCTGAGTGTGTGTGTGTGTCTGAGTGTGTGTGTGTGTGTGTCTGAGTGTGTGTGTGTGTGTGTGTGTCTGAGTGTGTGTGTGGTGTCTGAGTGTGTGGTGTGGTGTGTGTGTGTCTGGAGTGTGTTTTGTGTCTGGTGTGTGTGTGTGTGTCTGAGTGTGTGTGTGTGTCTGAGTGTGTGTGTGTCTGAGTGTGTGTGTCTGAGTATGTGTGTGTCTGAGTATGTGTGTGTCTGAGTGTGTGTGTGTGTCTGAGTGTGTGTGTGTCTGAGTGTGTGTGTGTCTGAGTGTGTGTGTGTCTGAGTGGTGTGTGTGTGTCTGAGTGTGTGTGTGTGTCTAGTGTGTGTCTGAGTGTGTGTGTCTGAGTGTGTGTGTGAGTGTGTGTGTGTCTGAGTTGTGTGTGTCTGAGTGTGTGGTGTGTGTGTTGGTGTTGTGTGTGTGTCTGAGTGTGTGGTGTGTGCTGAGTGTGTGTTTGTGTGTCTGAGTGTGTGTGTTTGTGTGTTGAGTGTGTGTGTGTGTGGTGTGTCTGAGTGTGTGTGTGTCTGAGTGTGTGTGTGTCTGTGTGTGTGTGTGTCTGAGTGTGTGTGTGTGTGTCTGAGTGTGTGTGTGTGCTGAGTGTGTGTGTGTGTCTGAGTGTGTGTGTGTGTGTCTGAGTGTGTGTGTGTATGTGTGATGTGTGTCTGAGTGTGTGTGTGTCTGAGTGTGTGTGTGTGTGTCTGAGTGTGTGTGTGTCTGAGTGTGTGTGTGTGTCTGAGTGTGTGTGTGTCTGAGTGTGTGTGTGTGTGTGTCTGAGTGTGTGTGTGTCTGAGTGTGTGTGTGTGTGTGTCTGAGTGGGTGTGTGTCTGAGTGCGAGTACTTACGTCCAGTACATACTCCTGGATGATGGCGTGCATGATGATTGCGACCAGCATGTAGAAGAACACTGTAGCCAGATCCTTCAGACCGTGGTGGAAGTGATTCACTACGCTCTCCTCTGATTGGCCCTCTGATAGGGAGACACATGAAGCCTTCATAGATGCCTTATATCATTTATTAGAAGTTGTTCCCTACGGTCTTCTTCTTGACCCTCTGATGGGCGATGCACACATCGTTACAATTATACTTTTTAAATATATGATGTTTTGTATGTGACTTGGACAGAAGATAAACAGATAGTGAGTGTGTGTGTGTCAAACTGTAGTGGGCCAGATTGAACCCCACTGTAGGAGCCGGTACTAACCACTAAACCACCCAGGACACACTTTAGACAAACAACTTACATGAAGCATTATTGAAGGTTTGAAAAACCCTTTATAAGGCCTTCATGGATGCTTTAAGAAGCGCTCTCTCTCTCTCTCTCTCTCTCTAAGTGCCACCTGACCTGCTACTGAAGTAATTTTACAGAAAAATATATATAAACCTGTTAATAAATGACAGAGGGCTTATGAGCACCGTAAACTGAATCTGCGTACCAAATGGCACCCTATTCCCTATGTAGTGCACTACTTTTGACCAGGGTCCATAGGGCTCTGATCAAAAGTAGTGCACCATGTCTGGAATTGGGTGCCATTTGGGATGCAGCCTGACAACAATATCTGCTCTTCAAATAAAATCTGACATCATGAAGTACATTCCATCAGCACCTCGTACATGACTTTAAATAAAGCAAAGAAGAGCAGGAAGTAGAACTGCTAGGATTAAGTAGAGCAGGAAGTACAACTGCTAGGAGTAAAGTAGACCAGGAAGTAGAACTGCTAGGAGTAAAGTAGACCAGGAAGTAGAACTGCTAGGAGTAAAGTAGACCAGGAAGTAGAACTGCTAGGATTAAGTAGACCAGGAAGTAGAACTGCTAGGATTAAAGTAGAGCAGGAAGTAGAACTGCTAGGAGTAAAGTAGACCAGGAAGTAGAACTGCTAGGAGTAAAGTAGACCAGGAAGTAGAACTGCTAGGATTAAGAAGACCAGGAAGTAGAACTGCTAGGAGTAAAGTAGAGCAGGAAGTAGAACTGCTAGGAGAATTAGTTAGGAGCTCCACTATTAAGAAAGTCTGTAACAGGAGTTTGTAGAAAACGTTAATTAATCTTATTCCCTATGTAGTGCACTACCCAATGGGCTCTGGTTAAAAGTAGTGCACTACATAGGGAATAGGGTGCCATTTGGGACACAGAAGAGGCTGTGATGCCGTAGCCTGTATTAAACCCTAGCCCCAATCCTTCCAGGCCAACCTAACAGGAGAACATTATAAATCAGGAAGACTAAATGTTGAGCCACAGAGAGAAAATAAAAAGAGAGCTCTGAAAGAAAAGGTGTTCTGGAAGTGGAAGGCCATATGAGTAGAGTTCTATTCTAGAACCCACAGGAGAAGCCTTCTGATTCTAGAACTACACGTAGATTCTAGTTATAGGGCGCCTAGTCAAGTTTCTACACTGACTGGATAACAGTTAAACTAGTTCCAGGCCACTGAAGAAAAGGTGGATAAGAAATGGAGATGTCATGAGGCAATTTTTGCCTTGTCATTAATTCTAAATAAAATGTCACAAAAAAAAGTTATGAAAGCAAAAGAGGAAGTGGAGACAACCTCCATACCGGATCCTCGTCATTTTGAGCATACATTTTTGACCCAGTAAAAAATAAATGGATAAAAGTTCATATGGAGGCCACTATAAAGTTAAACTCACCGTTTGCAGAGATGGTAACGTTGTATTGGACAGTGATGAACAGCACTGCAACCTTCGAGGTGACCTGCATCACGGAGGGGTCAAGGGACAGGATTGGTTAGACAGGGTTATGTCCCAAATGCCACCCTATTCCCTATATAGTGCACTACTTTTGACCAGAGCCCCGCTTCCAGGGGCTTCTATTTGAGTCATTGCCTAAAAGCAAACCACAACATGATTTTCTCATTATCTGTCCCTCTCTGTGGGTCGCCTACTGTGGCATAGCCTGCTAAAAATAAACCAGGTAGCGTTGTAGATTGATGTCAACAACAATAGACAGAAACACATGTTTAGTGTGCAAACCATTCAATCCAATACAACAGGTGAGACTGAATGGACAACTGGGGATTTGGACTTCAAAACATATGTGCCCTCATATGAACTCTTCTTGACTTCTTGAGGTCAGACATTTTACAAATATGGCAAGACTGATTCATAACTATAACATTTGCAGAACTCAGTTGTGATAAAGTAGCTACACTCGTTTTGCGTCATCAATGTGACTACAGCACATCAAGGCACAGGAACTCAAACTCCCAGAACGCCTCTAGTCAACGCAATGCAAAAAAATAAAAAATTCAGTGTAAACCAAACAATACATTTTTTTTAAACACTAATTGTTTTAAAACGTAAGGGGTTCAATTTGTAAAGGAATTGCGATTCTTGGGACTTTTACTGAATACAACATTTTAGTTTTTCGAATGAGCGGGGTTACACGCGAATGATGACGGCGCTCACCATCGCCCAGTGATTGCCACGTAACACTTGATCTGCGCATAAAAAGTATCATTACCGTTCTCCTAGCAGCAGGATATGATGCTGGTAGCACGATCTCGGATTTACCCTTCAAAATAAGAGTCCCTCTGCAAAGACTTGCTAAACTTTGGGTATATGGAATTTTTTGGCACACTAGTTCAGTACAAGTTTTTCACAACATTGGTACCACCTTTGAAAAAAAGAAATTGATAATTTGACATTTTTTCATTCCAGCATTTATTTTGATTTAAATGAATATACTTTTAATAAAATACAAATATATGTTATTGGAATTACTCAATAGTGTGTCAAACAGATTTTTTTTTGAGAGCATAAACTCTGAATGTGGAGGAAATAATTGGCTAAGAAATCAGCAGGTAGCATTTCCTTCACAAAATATTTTATAATGTCACATATCGCTGTTGTGAAGCCTCTGTTGAAGCAATTACATTTTTAGTCATTTAGCAGACGCTCTTATCCAGAGCGACTTACAGGAGCAATTAGGGTTAAGTGCCTTGCTCAAGGGCACATCGACAGATTTTTCACCTAGTCAGCTCGGGGATTAGAACCAGCGACCTTTCGGTTACTGGCACAACGCTCTTACCCACTAAGCTACCTGCCGCCCTATGCAATGGTTCTGTCCTGTTTTCACTGTCTTTTTTTAAACTCATGGAAAAGTGGTGATTCCTAAAAAGAATTGTAGGGATTTGATTCCTTTACGTTTGCTGCAACAAGCCTTCCCTGCTATATCTTTGAACATTCCTGACGCCTCTTTGAGAAATGGAACTTTTCCCATTCATCAAGGGTCCGAGTAAACACTTGGAATTTCCCGCAGAAATTAATCAAAAGTTGCTTCAGATGACAACACAGGACTGTGTCCTTGCTGATTATCTACTTCATCCTCAGGCTCATTAGACTCAAGTGTTTCCTTGCTTATCAATGGTTCTATATCTATGTTTTGGATTATCGTCTGTTTATCTAAGTCATCTTCACAATCATTTACAGTGTGTACATGTTCCTTATCAGTTTTTTATTTTTTTAAAAGTTAAACTATCTGGCATGTAATGCATTGGACGCTACGGAGGGGGTGGAGAGCGAAGTGCTGATGGGTATTTATGACACAGTCCCCCTCAAACTACACATATCTGGTTAGTAAAGACTCTACTGAATATTTTCCACCCCAGTTTAGCGGTGACGGGTAGAAAACGTCTCTACAAGTCAATATTCTCATCATATCACTGTCAACATATAGTTTTCATTATTGGTCTTATAAAATGTTTCTAAAACCATATTCGTTTTGATAATTCACTACTGTCCATTGATTCAAATTCAATATCTTTTAAAAAGTTACTCACATTGCAACGTTTTGAAACAGGCTTTTATTTTGAAGGTTTCTTCATTACCATACCACCGTGACGTCATCATTTGAGCTGCTGCACAACACTAGTAAAAGTATCCATGTGGGACTGTCTTTTACAATATTGTATCCAGCGAAACCGCAACATTGTAACCGCTTAAATGTTACAATCGCAGAATATATGTAGCGTTCCAGTTGTTACATTGTTGCCCCAACGATTACAATGCGAGGTAGACCAAATTATTCTAAATTTACAAGTGGCTCCTAGACTAGAAAGGAACCATAAAGCAACCAGATGGAGATGGTGGGCAGTTTTACATCTATAATAACTCTAGGCCACTACACGCCTTTTCAACTCAAAAAAGACACTACTGCAACTCAAATGGATTTTACAATAGAGACACTAGAAAGCAGAGAAACTATAGATTAGTCAATAGATGAAGTGGCGTAGAAAGAGTTGATCAGCCCATGTCCATTTTCAAGAGGCTGACGTGACGGTTCAGCATCATCTACTCTCCCCAGTTGAGTTGACACGTTGTAACTTTACAAGGCTCATTATTTGGAAAGCTTAGCTCGTATTGCACCACAGACCACGCCAACCTGCGGACTAAGACCTACCTCAAACATCAACCCGAGGAGGAATAACATAGCAACACAGGAAACAATATCTGCATGGTTCTGGATGATAAACTCGTGGCTCAACACCGGCGGGTTCTTGTTGGTCTTTTTGCGGATCCCCATTTTGGACGGCTTCCAAAAGGGAACTTTAAGCGGCCGGCGCGACTCAAAAGCAGAGCCTGAATAGGTATGACTAAGTATTCGGTATTGTTATCTGTCCGTCTTCGTCAGCTCTAAAGCAAGGCTCCAGTCTTCTTCCTGCTCCTCTCTCACACTCAAACACGGGCCAGCAAATGAATAGCGAGTTACTCTTCTTCTTGTGGGAGGATCCAGCCGACGCGCGTTGCCGGTAGAGCGGCTTTAACCCTACGCACAGGGCTAGACGTTGCCTGAGCGGTTTAGCGCCCCCTACATGTCTGGAGTGCAGAGACCATTGGTTTTATGTGCCTTCCTCTACACAACCGCGCAGGCGATATTCAATCGAAACCATTTTAAAGATCTCATGGATAAGATATATTCAATCACAACCTTTAACAGGATTTCCTGGATAAGTGGAGGAAAAAAAGACAACCCAAGGCATGTTATTT